CATCCCTAATATGTTACCCTTACTACAGGATTGAAGGTGGCTTGCTTTCCTATTTACATTCCTATTGCCCTCCCATAGGGGCAGAGAGGAAGAGAAGGTCCATTTCTCTCCTTTAAGGCCTTGATGTGGAAGCTGCATATATCACTTCTACCTACAGATACTACCTAGTCATAATGTGCATTTTTTGCACTTCCTACATCTAGGAAATGTAGCTGTTATTTTGTTGGCCATAGCTTATTTTCATGTATAATCATCTTCTACTAATTTCCTCTTACAGTTGAGTCTCTACTGCAATCAAAAGCTAGGATCCTCCACTTCCACTCTGGATTGCATACATCCCTGACTCCTCAGGAACCTTGCATTATTAATTAACCATTCTCTCTCTCCTGTATCTTCAGTCTTTTTATATATTGGAGTAATTCCATCTGCCAAAAAAAAAAAAAAAAAAAAAAAAAGAAAGAGAAAGAAAGAGAGAGAGAGAGAAAGAGAAAGAAAGAAAGTTAGTTCAAGTCCTCCCATCTTAAAAAAAAAAATCTTTCATTTGACATCCTCCTGCAGCTCTATCCCCTTTCCTTAATAACTACATTTCTTAAAAACTTACCTAAAGTCATTTACTCCCCTTCCTCCCATCACAATCAGTTTTCAGGACACCTACTCTGCCTTCTGCCTCAACAACCTCACTAAAATGGCTCTAAGGTTGCCAAAGATCTCCAGGTCACTAATTTTGGACCACTTTTCTCATTCCTCATTTTGCTTACCCAGGAGCAGCATTTGAATGAGTTCACCGGTTTCTTTTTGCACCTCTTCTCTTTTAGCTTTTATGATGCTTCACTCTCTGGGTTTCCTCCTGTCCCTCTGTCTACTCTTTCTTGATGTATTTTGCAGGCTCCTCTTTCTCTATCCAGTCTTTAAATAATGACCTCTAAAAGTCTGACTTGATACTTCACTTGTTCTTATTCTACACACTCTAATTCTGTGGTTTGCATTACTTCCTATACAATCTGTATATTTAGCTTCCTAATGGAATTCTACTTAGATATCTAATAGACATCTGAAACTTAATATGTCCAAAACAGAACAGATTTAATGGTGGGAGTTTCTCTCTGCTAGTTACTATTTTCTCTATGAAGTTGGAGTCTAGGTTCAGAGTGAATAATGCTGTGTGTGTGTGTGTGTGTGTGTGTGTGTGTGTGTGTGTGTGTCAGGGTGGGAGAAGAAATCAGAGATTTTATGAGACAAGAAAATTTGAAAACAATATTGTGTAAAATTAGAGAAAGAAGGTAATCAGAGAAATCTGGTAAGACATCTACTCATTCTAAGCAGCACAGTATGAACAACTGAATTCTGATTTCCAAAATCCCTGACTTTGAATTCTGGCTCTTTCACCTAGTAGCTTTCTGGCTTTGGGCAGGTTACTTAAACTCTCTCTAAGCCACAGTTTTTTCATCTAAAATATTAATCAACAATATTGGACCTAAATTCATGGTTCTTCATGAGGATTAAATGTGCTTAAAGGTAATGTGCCTTGAACATAGTAGGTGATCATCAAATAGTTTATAGTGAGTTACCAAAACCTTATTCATTTTTTATCTCATCCTTCTTTCTTACCCTCCACATGCAAATTATCTTTAAATTCTGTTTCTACCTCCTAAATAGGTCTTAGATCAATCTTTTCCACTACGTCCATGACTTTAGGTTAAGCCACTACCATCTCTCACCCAAATTACTGTCATGGACTCCCAGTTGGTCCCACCTTTTAAGTTGCTCTCCACACTAGCTCCACTGCAATCTTTCCAAATCTTTCTAAATCTTAACAAATTTCCAATGCTCCCAGTTCTTCCTTGCATGGCTTGCAAGAATCTGCATTTGCTGCCTCATTAGATAAAAGGTGTATGATTTGTCTATTGCTGTTGTAATAAATTACCATGAATGTAGTGGCTAAAAACAACACCCATTTATTAGCTCACAGATCTATTGGCCAGAGGTCTACACAGTGTGGCTGGGTTCTCTGCTCAGGGTATCAAAAATCAAGGTTTCAGCCAGACTGAATTCTCTTCTACAGACTCGGGGGAGGATTCAGGTCTCTGTTCTTTTGCTGGCTGTCAGCTAGAGACTGCTGTCAACTAGAGGCCACTCTCAGGATTTGCCCTGTGCCCTCCTTAACCCTCAGGCCAGAAAACAGCCACCTGCATTCCTTGCCCATTATCCGTCTTCAAGTTATCAACAGTGTGTTGAATTCCTCTCATTCTTCCAATCTCTTTGATTTCCTCTTCTGCTACTAGCCAGAAAAAAGAACCCTTGGCTTTTAAAGAACTCATGTGAGTTGGTTAGGACTAGCCAGATAATCTCTCTATCTTGAGATCAACTGATTAGTAGAATTAACTCCATCTGCAAAATCCCTTTTGCCATATAACGTAATTGTGGAAGTAGTATCTCATCATATGCACAGGTCCATCCACACACAAAAGATTATATAAGGGTGAGAGTCATTGGGGGTCATCTTCTAATTCTGCCTACCCAAAGAGAGGAAGTCAGGGGAAATATCCCTGAATAATTGCAGCTTGAGCTGAGATCAGATGGATGAGTAAGTGTTAATTAGGTAAGGAAGGAAAGAAGAAGCTTCCAGAGAGCATATGGAAAAGCTATGCAACTGGAGGACATATAGCAAAAATAAAAAAGAAAAAAAGAAAAAGAAAAAGAAAAGAGAAAAAAAGAGGGAGTGACCAAAAAAGGCCAGTGTGTCTACAGTGGAGAGAAAAAGAATCAGTGACTCATAGTGATTTGAAATAATGTGGCTAGAGAGGTAAGTGGGAGCCAGGCCACATAGGCTTTCTAGATTCTGTTAAAATGTTTTCTCTATCCCAAAAGCAAAGGTCAAAAGAGTGGGGTAGTCAGATTTGTATTCTAAGCATAGTACATGGGCTAAAGATGAAGGATAGATGTAAAGAGGCATCAGTAAAATATGGTGGCCCACTTAGGAAGCTAGGAGTGTGGTTCAAGAGTAGGGTAATATCAGTGGACATATAAGCAGACAGATTCAAGGAATACTCAGTAGCTAAAATGAACAGGACTTTGTGATTGATTCAATATGGGAGGGATGTAGTTATGTTCCCCAGGAAGCAGACTCTCAAACAAAGATTACTGTGGAGGATGTTTACTAAGGAGTACTCTTGGAGTTAACACCTGTGCAAGAGAGAGGATGAAAATAGGATTGGGCAAAAGGAGAAGCTGAGCAGTAATTCAGACCCAGCAAAGACCTCAGTCAACCCTATGAAGAGCTCTGGGGATGTGAGCATCTTTCAGAGTTGTCCACCACTGGGTTGAGGGGACTAAACTTTTATACCTCTGCACTGATTGGTCATTGGATATAGAATGCCCAAGAAAGGGAGCATAACCTTGGATGAGCTGGCTTTCTTCTGCTTAGGCAACTCCTGAAGGGTTCTGACAGCTGAGGGCCATCTTTTAGCAGCACTCTCCGCAACTGGAAAATAAATCCTTCATTTTTGAAGAGAGTTCTGGGCTTTGCATCACAGCATCCAGCACAGGGGTGAAGGATCATAGGGGAGTAAGGCATCAATAATAATTCCTAAATTTCTGATATGTACATCCCGATGGGTGCACTTAACGACCGTATATTACAATCATTGGCTTACTTGGGAAAATCCCCACTAGAGTAGGTGCTACTCAGGGGCAAACTATATTGGACTACTAATGCACACCCCTAGAACTGGCATAGTTTGCTAATTGACAATGAACATTGTGAATGTTCATCTACTTCTATTTTCACTCCCCTCTCCCTTATGTCCTTTGCTCCCTTCCCTCCTCATCGTACTGCCATCCAATGTGGGAAAACTTGAGCAGGTTATCTGAGGCCTCACCTGCGCTGGAGTTGAACAAATAGGAAATCAAGCTCGTCTGGTCCAGGCTCTCTGATGGGCAAGACAGGCAGTGCCAGGAGGAAGGGAAGGAGGGGCAGTTGACGACATCTCAGGCATAAACTGTCTTTCAACTCTCTTTCAATGCTTCAGCCCCTATAAACTCAGAGCTGGCTGAACCAGGTCCTCTCCAAAAGATTGATTGGATAAAGGCCTGCTGAATCCCCCATAAAGCCAGACTCCATTCTCTAATTTGCTCTTCCACTGATGCCCGCCCCCCACCTCTTACAGCTACTGCTGGGGGTCAAAAGACAGAATTTCACATCGTATTGGAGTTCATCTGGAATCTGAAGAATGGATAGGAATCTGGAGATAGGAATCTGGGGAAGAAAAGGAATGGATAGGAGAATGCATAAGGAGCAGGGCTGAAATAGTAGAAGAGGCAAATCCTGCCCTGAGAAGATGAACCCAGTTCAGTCCTGCACCCTTCAGCCCTGTTCCCGCTGCACCCCAGTGACCCAGTCCCCTTCCAGCCCCCACTCGTGGGAACCTGACACCCTACACAGGCAGCTCTGCCTGCACTGAGAGTAAACAGGGAGCCGTTAGCGTGTCGGGTGGGCGTGGGCGCTGCCTGGAGACGGTGGAGAAAGCCAACCGTCTCCTCCTCTTTTGTCTGCGCTGGGCCGGCGTTAGAATTATATCCCATCTTCACGTTACTCGGGTTTATCCTTGTCAGCTCTTGCCACCACCCCCAACTGCCCTCAACACCCAAGTCAGAAGCTGCCTCCCGGGAGCCCTTTCCCCTGGCAAGCCTCCCCTGGAGCCAAATCCTGGCCCCACCCCCACTCCCGCCCAGCTGTGGAGGGCTCCTTGGGAACCTTAAGTGGAAGCCTGAGTGTTGAGCCTCCGATAGGAGGTGAAGGTTGCGGAGACAGATGCAGGAGCTACCCTAGTCCCGCAGCGAGGAGCTGCAGGGAACTACAGTAGCAATAGTGTCACGGTCACTGCGGTCACTGCAACACAGTACCATAAATGCGGCTCTAGGTGCAGACTAAAGCATCCGCGCCTCAGCAGGTGACGCACGCAGACCCGGTCTCCAACGCCACCTCCACGTTCCCTGATACACCAGAGAAAGATGTTGGATCCGTGGCAGCCGTCTCTACCCAACGCCTCCTACCCTCCCTTCCCCAAAACCTCCCGCTACGCTGCCAATACTCTTGTCTTCTCTCTCTCTCTCTCTCTCTTTCTCTTTCTTTCTCTCTCTCTCTCTCTCTCTCTCTCTCTCTCTCTCTCTCTCTCTCTGTCATTCCGGGGAATCGAGGGTGGGGGCGGGTGATAAAGAGAGGTGGGCAGGAGAGAAATCTCTAAGAGGAGACAGGACAGATCTAGGGAGGGGGCGAGCCTGGAGGACAGTCGCACAGGGAGGGGCAGAACTCCCGAGCCCGGGAGGGGGTGCACAGTCACCTGGTGGGACAGAGGCTGGCGGAGGGACGGGAACCGAGGCGGGGTGAGCCGCGGGAGAGTGGAAGGGCAGGCGCCTGGGCTGGGGGCGGAGACCAGGCGGGGCAGGGAGGCGGGGAAGGAGGGCGGTGGGAGCCTGAGCCCATCGCAGCGTGAGCAGGTGGAGCCGCGGTGGGAGCCCGCCAGGCCGAGCAGAGTAAGGCGGCGGGCTCCGCCGGGGCCATGGAGCTGCTAAAGCTGAATCGGAGCGTGCAGGGAACCGGACCCGGGCCGGGGGCTTCCCTGTGCCGCCCGGCGGCGCCTCTCCTCAACAGCAGCAGTGTGGGCAACCTCAGCTGCGAGCCCCCTCGCATTCGCGGAGCCGGGACACGAGGTGGGTGCCCCCCTCATCCCCCTCCACAAGCTCTTTCTCACTGTACCCCAGAACACTAATAGAGTCCCCCCACGAGCTCCACACTATCTCCTCAAACGCCCACACCGTGCCCCTCAGCCCCCAAACAGCTCCTCTCACACCTTCACCCCCACAGCTCACAGGTTCATAGCTTCACACCACCTGGTCGGAACTCCTTCACATCCTGGTCCCCTGATTACACCCAGAGCCGCTGCTTGCCCCAAAGCACAGCCCCTTCCCCAACACGCAGCCCCTCCTAGACACCAGTTAGAAGGCGAGGAGCTCCTCTTGCCAACCCTGCAGATCTCCTTTTCCCTCTTACATCCAGTTCACAAAGCCACAACAGAGAAGGGAAGGAAGAAAGGAAGGCAGGATTGGGAAAAGAAGGGGGCTGGTTGAGGGAGGGAGCACTCTGGAAAGCTTGAATGGGAAACCGAAGATGTGATCACATCTGACACCTCAGCCCCCAGGCATCCCAAAAAAAGATCCTCAAATCTGATTTAGGCTGGACACTAGGAGATGCCCCTTAAAACTGCCTGTCTCCATTTCACTCCTCAAACCCCTCTGCCTCCCTAGTTGGAGTTTTCAAGGCTCTGTGCCCTCTCTCTTTGTCTGCAAGTAATGTCTCCAGCTATCTTCCAAGCTCCCTCTTCAGCCCTAGACTAGGTGCTGGGGGTACAAGGCAAACTAGACCCAGTCTGGTCCCTCATGACCCATAGCCAAGTGCAGAGAGAAAAAAGCAAATGGAAAAATCACAGACACAGTGGAAATCCCATGAAAAGGTTTAAACTGTGGGCACCAAAAGAACTTCACAGAGGCTAGAATCTTGGAGCTGGGTCTTGAAGTTGAGTGGGCAGAAAAGGAAGGATGGGATTCTAGTGAAGGAAATAAATTTTTCTAAACTTGAGAAGGGAAAGTTGGAATAAATTGTAATCCAAGTATTTACCCCATGAAATAATCTATGCTTTCTCAGCCCATTTGTTACACACTCACACTTGGATTTGTCATTCAGCCAATATTTATTGAACCAGAGATTGTGCTAGGCAGTGGGAATGTAAGTTGAACAAAACTGACACAATTCCTACTTCACAGAGCTCAAAGCTTAATGGGTGAGACAGACAAGCAGGGGATAGAAGCACAAAGTGGAAGAGCCTTGATAGGGAAAAGATAGTGGGAACACAAGTGGAGCACCTCTAGCCCAGCCTAGCCTCCGTGAGAATTAAGGTTGGCCTCTTAAGGAAATGAGATACAGAGTGAAAAAAATTAGGGAGATTGGCTCTAAGCTTCCTGTTGGAAAAAAAAAAAAAAGTGTGTGTGTGTGTGTGTGTGTGTGTGTGTGTATGTGTGTGTGTGTGTATATATATATATATATATATGAGAGTCAGTCAAGTAAACAGGCAGAAGAGGCAGAAAGCATCCCAAATAAAAGATGTATAAAAAGCTCCAAGTTTGAATTCATGGCACTTTTATCCACTGTGACATAGTTTTGAGTGGCTACAACATATATCTTAAGAAGGGAATAATGAACAGGCTGGAGACCAGCCTAGAGAGTTTGCAGAGAGCCTACTAGACCTGACCATGGAATGTGGACTTTATCCTGAGGGCAATAGGAACTACTAAAAGATTCAGTAGCACTACCAGGATTAGTTCTATAATGTGGAGAATGGATTGGAAGACATGAGATGGAAGGCAGGGGGGTACTTTAGAAGGTTACTATATTACACTGGTTTAGGTGAAAGATGATGCTAGCTGAGACTACGGTAATGGCAAGGGGGACAGAGAGAGGTGTATAGGTTTGAGAGCCTTTTCTGGAAATGGAATCAACAGATTAGAAGCAGAGAGGATGGAAGAGGTCAAGGGATGACATTCAGATTTCTAACTTGGACAATTGAATGGATATTGGTGCTATAGCAATTGTATACAATGAGCAAGATAACAAAACAGCAGAAATAGGTTTGGAAGAAGGAATTATGAATTCAGTTTGGAACCCATTGAGTCTAAATGTTAGTGGGATCATCCAGGTGAGGTTACCTAGTAAGCTATTGAATCCAGGGGTCTGGAACTTACAGGAGAGGTCTGAGGTGGAAATACAGACTTGAAGGTATTTGCCTACAGGAGGTAGAAGCCATGAGAATAGTTAAAATCATAATATTTTGTATAGAACGAGAAGAAAATAAGTCCTGGGTCAAGACTCTGCATAAGACCATTATTTAAAACCCAGGCAGAGAAAGGAGAATTTATGAAGGAGATTCAGATGAAACCGTCAGAAAGGCAGGAGCTATGCCCTTCCAGAAAGCAAGAAAAAGAGAGTTTCAAGCAGGTTGGGGTAAGCGATGTCAAATGCTATTGATGTAAGTTAGATAAATAAAAAACAGGACAGTCAGAACAGCATCTTTCAGATTCAGTAACAAGAAAATATTTAGGAGTTGTAGGTATTGAGGCTTGACTATAGTAAGTTGAAGATTGGGCTGGTGGGAGAGGGAGTTATGAGAAGTGAACCAGGGTATATAGCCAAAACTTTCAAATGTTTGGTAGAGAGAGAGAAAGAGAGAGAGAGAGAGAGAGAAAACCAGGATATTGCCAAAAATAGCATGAGATTGAGGCAGCTGGGTTGGGGTAGGGGGGCGGGTATATGTGTAGGTTTGTTGTGTGTGTGTGCACACATTTTAAAACAAGAGCTTTTAAAAGTGTTTGATGTTGATTGGGCCAAGAGAGGAAGATTGAAGGTGCAGATAAGAAAGGGGATAGTCAATAGAGAAGAGTCCCTGTGAAAGCGGGATGTGAAGCAATTCAGAGCACAGGTGCAAAAATTTGCCTCACTTATCTAAATGCTTCTCACACATTCGGATATTACCCAGCCAGTCAGATGTTACACACAGAGACCCTGTCAGCCACACTCACTCAGATATTATCCCCACAGATGCATATGTTACCCAGGTTCACTCCAATGTTACCAATAGAAATTTGGATGTTACCACTTTATTCTTCTTATATAATCCATGCAGACTTGAGTATTACCCATGTTCACTCAGATAGTACCCACAGAAAGACAAATGTTACCACACTCACTTTAATATTGTCCGAAGTCATTTTGGTGTTACCCATCCATCAAACACTACTCACTTTCATTTTATTATTATCCACACACAATCAGATATTATCTATGCTCACTTAAGTAAGCTTTCCCCAGATACTACCCATAAAATTACAAATATTACTCTCACAGATAATATTACAGATAATACCCACAAAGGCTTAAATATTACTTACATTCACTCAGGTGCTCAGTTATTTCACTTATTCAGATTAACATCTTTTTTTTTTTTTTTTTTTTTGAGACAGTCTCCCTCTGTTGCCCAGGCTGGGGTGCAGTAGCATGATCACGGCTCACTGCAGCCTTGACCTCCACAGGCTCAGGTGATCCTCCCACCTCAACCCCCTGAGTAGCTGGAACTACAGGCATGTGCCACCACAAGTGGCTAATTTTTTGTATTTTTTGTAGAGATAGGGTTTTTCCATGTTACCCAGGCTGGTCTCTAAATGCTTGACTTAACAGATCTGCCAACCTCAGCCTTCCAAAGTGCTGGGATTACAGATATGAGCCACCATGTCTGGCCCAGATTAACATCTTAATTTAGTTTAACATGCTAACATCTATCCATACTCAAATACTACCCATACATACTTGGATATTACTTCTGCTCAGTCAGCAATTTCTATCATTATCTGGATATTCCACTATTCACAAGTAGACCTCTGAATGTAATCTATGCTTCCTGAAGATGTTACCTACAAAATGTTATCTACAGAGAGTTGAATATTAACCTTTGCTCTTTCAAATGTTACTACACTTACTCGGATATTATCTAAACTTAAATGTAAGTCATATTCAATCGGATATTACCTATAAGCATGTAGCTGTTACCATTCTCCAGTTATTTCGTGACTTTCACCTACCCATATACTATTTCAAAGACTAAAGTATGCCCAACACTCACTCTGATATTACCTACACACCCTTGTATATTACTTCTGCCCCCTCAGTACCCACTATGTGGATTCCCCCATTCACCCAGCCACTATCCACAGTCAGTTGCATGTGATCCCTGCTTATCATAAAGACAAGGGTATTACTTTGATGCCTGTGTGCATAGGTGAACAGATCAAACATGCCAGTAGAATGCAGAATTTGAGGCATCAGCAGCTTCAGTGTTCTGTGGAGTTTTTCCTTAGAAAGGCTTGGTTTTCATTTTATGTCACATTGTCTGGATTTTTGTGCTCATACTTCTCTGCCATTATCTAGACAGAACAAATACCGATCTTCTAAACACCAGGAGAAGAACTGAACTGTCCCAGTCTTCTGAGTCCCCTGGTCTGATGCCAGTTTTCCTCTCATCCCCAGGAAGATGATGAGATGATGCTCATGGGTAGACTATCAAGGCACTTGTGGATGTACTCCAGTAGGTGCTATCTCCCATCCTTCTGCCCATGCCTGTTTTCTAGTCACTGAAGCCACTGTCATCACTCATATTCCACCATGCAAACACACATCAATACACACACACACACACACGCATGCAAGTCTAATTCTGATTTATTTTGTGCATGACTTTTTAAACTAATAGATTATTTTTAGAGCAGTTTTAAGTTTACAAAAAGTACAAAGTGCCCATACACACACAAACACACATATACACAGAATTTACCCCATTATTAACAGCTTACATTAGTGTGGTACATTTGTCACAATTTATAAGCCAATATCAATACATTATTCACTAAATTCTAGAGTTTACATTAGGGTTCACTTTTTTTGTGTTGTATGGTTTTGACAAATGTATAATGGCATGTATCCACCATTATAGTATCATACAGAATAGTTTCACTGCCCTAAAAATCCCCTGTGCTTCACCTATTTATCCCTTGCTCTGTCTCCCCAAACTCCTGGCTCTAAAATTGCTTTAAATTAGAATTTTTCACATTTCCAAACTGTTCAACAGCAAAGACCTGTGGAGACAGTGGTGGCTGGAAATAAGATAATAGCTAGGAATGTCTGGTAAAACAGCAAAACACTGCACAGTTGCTGGTCATTTTTACCGGGACTTTGTCTTCTACATTTCAGGAGTCCCCAAGCATATTGCAAACTTTATAAGGGTGAGATTTAGCTACATCTTTATGGTCCATCACAATTAGCCAAGCTCAAGGGCACACACATGGGACATATCAGCTGGATGAATGAATGAGAAATTGCTTCTTATACTTCACAGTACTGTACCAATTTGAGGTGTGGCAATTGCATCAATAATTAGTTGAAGAAAGACATCCACAGGCAGATGTAAGCAAGATAATGGACCTAGAAAGATTAAAGAGGTGGAGGCTGGGGGTGGGAGGACAGTAGATTTGGAGGAGAAACAGTGAGTCCAAGATAAACCACAGCTCTTTTCTGAGTCCAAGGACCTCCCTGACAGAGGCCTCCCTCCTAAAAGTGTTTTATTCTCCACCATACACACTTATTACCGTCAAATTGTGTCACCTATAAGCCTTCCATAATCCTGCCTTACAGAGAGAGGCCCAGCTTCTAAAGGAAATATAGATGGTTTGCATATAAAAAACAAAAGCTATGCATCTGAAATCATAACCTCTCACTGACCCCCACAAGGACCTTCCAACATGTGTCTCCAAAAAGACAGAGGCAAAGAAGAAGAAGAGAGGGCATGCTGGAGCACCTCTGCAGAGATGAGAGATGGATGAGGAGGGGGAAAGCAGGTGCACGTCTGTCTTGAAAGACAGAATCATCCAAGATTCATTAACAAGTCATTGTGTTGACTGCCTCCTTTGTGCTAGGGATGACAAGTGCTAGGGATATACTGGAGAGTGAGATGGACCTTGCCCCTGTCCTCAAGAAGCTCCTAGTCTAGTGGGGAAGACAGAGAATTACATACATACTAATGCAGTGAGAAATGACATGGTTGAGTAGAGAGAGAGGGAAAAAGAGGCATTTAGACTGAGATTTGATTAAGAAGGAGGCAGTATGGGTTGGGTGCGGTGGCTTAAACCTGTAATCCCAGCACTTTGGGAGGCCAAGGCAGGCGATCACCTGAGGTCGGGAGTTTGAGACCAGCCCTACCAACATGAAGAAACTCATCTCTACTAAAAATACAAAATTAGCCGGGCGTGGTGGTACATGCCTGTAATTCCAGCTACTCAGGAGGCTGAGGCAGGAGAATCGCTTGAACCCAGGAGGCAGAGGTTGCGGTGAGCCGAGATCATGCCATTGCACTCCAGCCTGGGCAACAAGAGCAAAACTCTGTCTCAAAAACAAAAACAAACAAACAAACAAAAAAACAAGGAGGCAGTATGATGCATGACAGAGCACTGCAGGAACAAACAGTAGGAGGCAAAGCACTTTAGGGATCAGGGACTTGGCTTCTATTCTGATTCAGCCCCTTATCAGGTGTGTGGTCTTGAGCAAAGAATGTTACTGTGGAGCTCAGTTTGGAAGATTTTATAAATAGCATTTATTTGATGCCTACAATTTCTAAATAAATTGGTTTTTTGGCCGGGTGCGGTGGCTCAAGCCTGTAATCCCAGCACTTTGGGAGGCCGAGACGGGCAGATCACGAGGTCAGGAGATCGAGACCATCCTGGCTAACGCGGTGAAACCCCGTCTCTATTAAGAAATACAAAAACTAGCCGGGCGAGGTGGCGGGCGCCTGTAGTCCCAGCTACTCGGGAGGCTGAGGCCGGAGAATGGCATAAACCCGGGAGGCGGAGCTTGCAGTGAGCTGAGATCCGGCCACTGCACTCCAGCCTGGGTGACAGAGCGAGACTCCGTCTCAAAAAAAAATAATAAAATAAAAATAAATTGGTTTTTGTTATGAGAAAATACAGTCATGCATTAACTAATGATGGGGATACCTTCTGAGAAATGCATCATTAGGTGATTTCATTGTGTAAATATCACAGAGAGTACTCACACAAACCTAGATGGTATAACCTACTACATACCTAGGCTATATGGTATAGCCTATTGCTCCCAGGCTACAAACCTATACAGTATATTACTGTGCTGAATATTGTAGGGAAGAGTAACACAATATTATGTATTTGTGTATCTAAACATAGAAAAGGTACAGTGAAAATACAGTATAAAAGATAAACCATCATACCCCTGTATAGGGCACGTACCATAAATGGAACTTGCAGGAGTAGACGTTGCTCTGGGTAAGTCAGTGAGTGGGGGCGAGTGAATGTAAAGGCCTAGGACATTACAGTACACTTCTGTAGACTTTATAAACACTGGATGCTTAGGCTGCACTAAATTTATTTTTCAAAATTTCCTTATTTAATAATAAATTAACCTTAGCACACTGTAACTTTGTACTTTATAAACTTTATGACTCTTTTGTAATAACACAGTGTAAAACAAAAAACACATTGTATGGCTATACAAAAATATTTTCTTTTTTTATACTCTTATCCTTTAAGCTTTTTTCTGTTTTTAACTTAAAAAAAAAAAAAAAACCTTTCTGTTAAAACCAAGACACAAACACACACATTGGCCTACACAGGGACAGGATAAATATTGCCATCTTCCACCTCCACATCTTGTCCCACTGGAAGGTCATCAGGGCAACACCACACATGGAGCTGTCATCTCCTATAGTAACAGTGCTTTATTCTGGAATACATCTTAAAGGACCTGCCTGAGGCTGTTTTATAGTTAACTTTTTAAAAAAATAAGTAAGAGTATACTCTAAAATAATGATTGAAAGTATAATGTACTAAATACATCAACCAGTCACACAGTCATTTATTATCACTATCAAGTATCATGTACATCATTGTATGTGCTAGACTTTTACATGACTGACAGCACAGTAGGTTTGTTTATACCAGTATCCCCACAAGCACATACATAATGCATTATGCTGCAATGTTACAATAACATAGCTAGGTGACAGAAATTTTTCAGCTCCATCATAATCTTTTGTTATTGTTGTTTTGGGTTTTATCTGAGACAGAGTCTCACTTTGTTGTGCAGGCTGGAGTGCAGTGGCACTATTACAGCTCACTGCAGCCTCGAACTCCTGGATTCAAGCAATCTTTCTGCCTCAAACTCCTGAGTAGCTATGACTATAGGCATGTGTCACCACACCCAGCTAATTTTTTATGTTTTGTAGAGATGGGGTTTTGCTATGTTGCTCAGGCTGATCTCAAGCTCCTGGCCTCAAGTGATCCTCCCGCCTTGGCCTCCCAAAGTGCTGGGATTACAAATATGAGCCACTGCACTCAGCTATTCATTATAATCTTATGAGACCACCATCGTATACGAAATTTGTCATTTACCAAAACATCTTTATTCAGTGCATGGCTATAGTTTTCAATTTGGGAGCTAAAATGAGGGTCAAAGTATAGGGCTCTGGAAGAGAGGACTGCAGCTTTGAGCCCTTTCTTCTCTGCAATCTAGGAGGCTCTGTCCCCTGCCCTCTCTACCTTCCAGCTCTAATCCCTCTCATGCTGAGGTCATAGGCATGTGATTCAGTCCTTTTCAATCCAATTTGATTTTATCTAAATCTGCTTGGTTGTGACATAGTGGTCCAAAGATTAATCCATCTTTTAGTAGACAATGGCACAAAAGAATGGGGTCAGCCTCCCAGCTCCTCTGCCTCACACAGGTGTCCCTCCTATGAGCTCTGACAGCATATTTTATATCCTTCAGCCTCATTCCTTATCACATCTGTTTATGTATCTGAATTTACTTCCCCACTGTGAGTTCTCAAATGGCAGGGAGCTTGTCGTGTTCATCTCTTTGTCCCCAGTGCCTAGCACAAAGAGAGTCCTCTGTAAATGTTTATAGAGTGAGAATGAATGTTTGGAGAGAATTAAAATACAAGGCAGAAGTAAAACAGGCTTTAACAGTTGTGTAAGAAACAGGCATGGGTCAGAGAAAGGAGAGAGTAATACCAAATGAGGTATCCAGAAGGGCCTTACAGAAGAAGTAGCAGTCACTTTGAGTCTTGACCAACAAGGGATGAATAGGAATTCACCAGATACAGAAAATAAGCTTGTCATGAGGGGTGGAAATTGTGAGGAGGGTTGGTGAAAGAGTATTCCGGTCTGAGAAACTAGCTTGAGCAGGAAGAGAGTCACAAGTGCAAATGATGCATTCAAGAAACTGTGTCATCCAGTGGCTTGCTTAAATGGCTGCAGTGCAGGGAGGGGGTAGGGGAGAAAGAGATCCCTTCTGGGAAGATCTTGATGACATTCTGAGGGGTTGCAGACAGTAGAGAATAAGCGAAGGATTTTTTTTGCTTTTGCCTTTAGAGAATAAAGACATGATCTGATGTGATTTAAAAGGCAGTGGGTTATCAACAGTGTAAAATACTCTAGAGAGGTCAAATAGAATAGGCTAAGAAAGGACCTTTGAATTTAGCAGTTAAAGATTAGTGTACTTGGGAAGAAGTATGCAGCGATAGGGTACAGAATATTGTATTGTAATAGATTGAAGAGCAAATGAGAAGACACAAATATCCTCTTAAGAAGTTTGGCTGCAAAGAGAAAGATTTGGAACGAACGTTGAGAAGAGGCAGGCTTTCTTAAGGAAGGGCAGAGTTGGGCCAATTTAACCAAACCTCAAGGGGTTAGAAGGCTAAAGGATTCAAGTTCACCATTTACTGAGCAGTTCCTGGGTGGCGAATGTAGGCATCTGGCTGGGTAATGAGGGTTGGGGATAAGAGGGAAGGAGGGGGGTTTGGCTGAATGAGGGCTGACCACCTACTGCCACCTCTCCCTTTTCTTACCCAGAATTGGAGCTGGCCATTAGAATCACTCTTTACGCAGTGATCTTCCTGATGAGCGTTGGAGGAAACGTGCTCATCATCGTGGTCCTGGGACTGAGCCGCCGCCTGAGGACCGTCACCAATGCCTTCCTACTCTCACTGGCAGTCAGCGACCTCCTGCTGGCTGTGGCTTGCATGCCCTTCACCCTCCTGCCCAATCTCATGGGCACATTCATCTTTGGCACAGTTATCTGCAAGGCGGTTTCCTACTTCATGGGTGGGTGAGACAACCACGCACCCCCATTTGCCATTCTCCCCTCCTAAAGCTCTTGTGGATGTAGGGGTCCTCCCCAGTTGGCAGGGAGGGGTGTGAGGAAGTCCCACTGATGGTTGTGCAGCGCAAGTTTCCTAGGTGACTCCCTCCTGTCTCTTCCCTTGCTTAGGTGTGTCTGTGAGCGTGTCCACGCTAAGCCTCGTGGCCATAGCACTGGAGCGGTACAGCGCCATCTGCCGACCACTGCAGGCACGAGTATGGCAGACGCGCTCCCACGCGGCTCGCGTGATCGTAGCCACGTGGCTGCTGTCCGGACTACTCATGGTGCCCTACCCCGTGTACACCGTCGTGCAACCAGTGGGCCCTCGTGTGCTGCAGTGCGTGCATCGCTGGCCCAGTGCACGGGTCCGCCAGACCTGGTGAGCTTACCCACAAATTATCCTAGGAATTCCTTTGTCACCCCTATTAGATGATTACGACCATTGCCCAGAATCTTCCTCCAGCTGCCCGGAGAATTACCACGCCAATTCCTATTCCGCATCCACCACCCTGGAGTTCCAGTTTGGGTCTCTTCTGCAGTTCTCTCTCCCTTCCCAGTGGCACCCCCAAATCCTACTCCTATTTCAGGTACCTGGCCACAGCCCTAGAAACACCAGTCCTTGGCTTTTTCTCCATCTGTGATTATAGCTGGACAGAAACCCGAGTGATCTGTCTGTCTTGCCTTCAGGTCCGTACTGCTGCTCCTGCTCTTGTTCTTCATCCCGGGTGTGGTTATGGCCGTGGCCTATGGGCTTATCTCTCGCGAGCTCTACTTAGGGCTTCGCTTTGACGGTGACAGTGACAGCGGGAGCCAAAGCAGAGTCCGAAGCCAAGGCAGGCTGCCAGGTGGGGCTGGACCAGGTGAGCAAAATCTGGAAGAGGCGGAGCTTTGGAGGGCGACGGGGCCTGCTGGAGTGGGTGGGGCTAAAATGGAGGTGAGAAAAAAGCTGGAAATGGGGTTACGGCTGGGAGCGGAGGTCAGGTGGGGACTGGGCTGGAAACTGGGAGGACTCTTGCCTTTTTCTCTGACCGCCCACCCTCTGTGCTCAGGTGCTATTCACCAGAACGGGCGTTGCCGGTCTGAGACTGGCGCGGTTGGCGAAGACAGTGATGGCTGCTATGTGCAACTTCCGCGTTCCCGGCCTGCACTGGAGCTGTCGGCGCTGACGGCTCCTGGGCCCGGCTCCCGGCCCACCCAGGCCAAGCTGCTGGCTAAGAAGCGCGTGGTGCGAATGTTGCTGGTGATCGTTGTGCTTTTTTTTCTGTGTTGGTTGCCAGTTTATAGTGCCAACACGTGGCGCGCCTTTGATGGCCTGGGTGCACACAGAGCACTCTCAGGTGCTCCTATCTCCTTCATTCACTTGCTGAGCTATGCCTCGGCCTGTGTCAACCCCCTGGTCTACTGCTTCATGCACCGTCGTTTTCGCCAGGCCTGCCTGGAAACGTGCGCTCGCTGCTGCCCCCGGCCTCCACGAGCTCGCCCCAGGCCTCTTCCCGATGAGGACCCTCCCACTCCATCCATTGCTTCGCTGTCCAGGCTTAGCTACACTACCATCAGCACACTGGGCCCTGGATGAGGAGTAGAGGGGCCGTGGGGGCTGAGGCAGGGCAAATGACAAGTACTGACCCTTCCAGACACACAAAACACAAACCACAACTGACGCAGGAGACCGGCACCCAAAGCATGGACTAACCCCAAAGCACAGGAAAAGGTAGGTTATGTGACACAAAAGGAACAAGAATGGAGCAGTACACAGGAAAGGAGGCATGCCTCTGATACAGGACTGAGCCTGGCCCATAGAAACATGACACTGACAGACACAGCGTCCCTAGCAGTGAACTATTTCTACACAGTGGGAACTCCGACAAGTGCTGACCTGCCTCTCACACACAGATTAATGGCACTGATTGTTTTAGAGACTATGGAGCCTGGCACAGGACTGACTCTGGGATGCTCCTAGTTTGAGATCACAATGCCCTTTCCCAATCAGTACTGAAAATACCATCAGGCCTAATCTCATACCTCTGACCAACAGACCATTCTGCACTGAAAACGTTCTTCATTCCTTTCCAGTTAAGGACCGTGGCCCTGCCCTCTCCTTCCTTACCCAAACTGTTCAAGAGATAATAAATTATTTGGCTTCCTCCTGAACTTCCTTTCTGGATTCTTTTGGGGCAGGTGAGGAGGCAAGGATTTTGCAGTATCCTTCTGTCAGTTCTCTCCCACTGTTGCACACCACTGTGCACAACCCCTTGCCAGAAAGCCCAGCCTCTGAGGCTCAATGTGACTGTGCATATTCTTTCTGGATTTTCAACCTCTACCTACATTCCAGTGTTGCAGTAACTGTGAATGGGGATGGAAAATGGCATATCCATGACGTATCATGATTCCTGATCACATTATCCCAAAGTGGTGCCACTGTTAAGATACTATATTAATGGATACTTGTTAAATTTTGATGAAAAGATAAAAGAAGAAGCACTGTATAGTAAGACTAAGTTTATTCAGTGTGTGTGTGAAACACCAGAGATCAGACCATGACAAGTATACAGAAGTTAATTAAAGAGTAGGGATTTTTTACTGTACTCTTTTCTCCAGTGTCAAAATCTGGCCAAGATTCTGCCAAATGGAAGCACTCTTAGCAGCTACAACAAAAAAGAACTGAATAGGAGTCTGAGAACCTAGTCTCCCTTTTACTACAAGAATGATCTAGCCCGAGACAGGCAAAAACCAGCAATATCACCTCTCCACACACAATGACAAATGAGGAAGAACAGGAACTGAGGACCTCACTAAGGAGACATACATGGATAATCAGAGGCATAGTATATTGGAGGAGGGGTTTTTGATGCTTCATCTTGTAACCGATAGGGGAAACTGAGGCCCAGAGCAGGAAGGTAAGCTGCCCAAGGTCATACAGTAAGTTAGAGCAAGAGAAAATAATGGTGTTGAAGTAGACACTGGGCTGGAGATGGGAAAAAGACCCACCCATGAGGAGCAGAAACAAGTTTTGTGGGACCTAAAGTTTATAAAATTGGGTGCTCTTTTTTTAAGAAAGAAAAAGAACACAAAGTTACAGATACAAGATTACTGAGACCCTGACCAGGGCCTTGAAAGGGGCCTGTGCAAGTGATAAGCCCTCAGTTTTAGGCCTCATTCACTTCACAGCCAATATGCCCTAAAATACACCCACTAACTACCCTGGAGAAGGCTGCATGGAGTAGAGGACAGTGAGAAAGGAGAGTGGTTCTTCTGTTTATCAGTGCTGAGGTTGCTCCCATCCCTCATTTCTACAGGATTCTGGGCTGCAAGAGGCAAGAAGAAGGAAGAAAAGGAGGGAGAAGGCGTTCCAAGCTGTCAGCTATGACAGGGATGGTTAAAAATAGAATCCCAGCTGGTCTGTGGAGCCGCAGGCAGATATTGGGCCTTTCTCTCTCATGCCACCTTCTCTGTGAGGTGGGAGTAGGCTGGCCCATAGGCTCCCTAGCACTCCACCATCCCTTCTAAAGACTGCCTGGGGCTGTTGCCCCCTCTAGCTGGAGCCTGGGCTCCAGATGACCACGAAATGTCAGCCGGGAGCTGGGTAGGGGAGGGCTGGGTCTACAGAATACTTGTACCTCCATCACCCCACTCCATGCCCTATTCAGCTGTTAGATATGGACTCTTAAGCTCCTTCCATCTATTTTCCATTTCTAGGAATCTGATAAAACATATCAGGTCTAGATTTAATATCACTGTCCCAATGAAGTCCTACTTTGTCATTCTGGCAAAGTTTGTATGCTCATATTGTACTTACTGCTTTCTCTCTTTTGCCATAGTCATGTGTGTTCCTACCTAATTTCTCCTATCAGCCTGGGAGCAGCATCGTGTAGTAGGAAGATGACTGAGCCTGGTTGGGTGATAGAGGAGGGTAGTGGTAAGATCTAATTCTATGTGATAGGCACTTTATATACACTGATTCATTTCATTCTCTGAATACTTCCACAGAACATTTCTCCTCATTCAAAAGACAAATAAAGTGAAGCTAAGAAAGCTTAAGGGAGTTATACGAGGTCCTACAGCCAGAATACAGCCAAGAATTGAGCTTCGGTATCTGACTTCCAAGCTTTTTCTCTTGCCATTATAGTGTGTTGCCCTCTTTCAAGTCTTTCCAGTCCTAGGTGTGTCTTTTAAAAGTTGTGTGATTTTTTGCACATTATCTAAATGAGTTTTAGGCTCAGGTGTAAAACGGTAATATTATATTAACCTTACACTGCCATTTTGAAAATTAAGTAAAATCATGCATACAAAGTGCTTATCATTGTATCAGGCACATAGCATAAAAAGAGTTAGTTGCATCAGGAGTGGGAGGAAGCAAAAGCACCAGGAAACAAGGCCTTCTGTAGACAGGTAGCCACCCATAATTGAATGGGACAGAACTCTGGGTACAAGGGGAGGCTCAGAGCTTGTTATGAGATGATATTAGAAAGTGATATGTGTAGGCAAATAAATGGTAGGAAAAAAAAAAAGAAAGTGTTGTACAGTGGAATAAAACTAGAAATCAAAAACAAGAAAAATTTTGGAAACTATACAAACACATGGAAATTAAATAATATGTTACTGAATGACAGTTGATCAATGAAGAAATTAAGAAAAAAATGAAAACTTCCTTGAAACAAATGATGATGATAATGAAAATACAACATACCAAAACCTATGGCATACAGCAAAAGCAGTACTAACAGAGAAGTTTATAGCTTACCTAGTCAAAAAAGAAGAAAAACTTCAAATAGACAGCCTAATGATAATTTTAAAGAACTAGAAAAGCAAGAACAAATCAAACCCAAAATTAGCAGAAGAAAAGAAATAATAAATATCAGACCAGAACTAAGTGAATTTGAAATGAAGAAAAACATCAAAAGATCAATGAAACAAAAGGTTGGCCTTTTGAACTTTTTGAACTTTTGATAAACTTTTAACTAGAATAAGAAAAAAGAGAGAAGACCCAAATATATAAAAGCAGACATGAAAAAGGAACATTATGACTGATACTGCAGAAATTCAAAGAATCATTACTGACGACTGTGAACAACTACATGCCAATAAATTGGAAAATCTAGATGAAATAAATTCCTAGACACATAAAATCTACCAAGATTGACCCAGAAAGAAATCCAAAACCTGGCCGGGCACAGAGGCTCACGCCTGTAATCCCAGCACTTTGGGAGGCCGAGGCAGGCAGATCACCTGAGGTAGGGAGTTCAAGACCAGCCTAATCAACATGGAGAAACCCCATCTACTAAAAATACAAAAATTAGCCAGGCGTGGTGGTGCATGCCTGTAATCCTAGCTACTCGTGAGGCTGAGGCAGGAGAATCGCTTGAACCCGTGAAGCGGAGGTTGCAGTGAGCCAAGATCGTGCCATTGCACTCCAGCCTGGGCAACAAGAGCGAAACTCTGTCTCAAGAAAAATAAAATAAAATAAAATAAATCCAAAACCTGAATAGACTAAAAACGAGTAATTACATTGAAGCCATAATAAAAAGTCTCCCAGAAAAGAAAAGCACGAGACCCAATAGCTTCACTGCTTAATTCTACTACACATTTAAAGAATGAATACCAATTCTACTCAAACTATTCCAAAAAATAGAGGAGAGAATACTTCCAAACTCATTCTATGAGGCAAGTATTACCCCAATACCAAAACCAGACAAAGATACATCATAAAAGAAAACTTCCAACAGACACATGAAAAAATGTTCATCATCACCCACCATCAGAGAAATGCAAATCAAAACCACAATGGGATACTATCTCACACCAGTTAGAATGGCAATCATTAAAAAAATCAGGAAACAACAGGTACTGGAGAGGATGTGGAGAAATAGGAACACTTTTACACTGTTGGTGGGACTGTAAACTAGTTCAACCATTGTGGAAAACAGTGTGCCGATTCCTCAAGGATCTAGAACTAGAAATACCATTTGACCCAGCTATCCCATTACTGGGTATATACCCAAAGGATTATAAGTCATGCTGCTATAAAGACACATGCACACGTATGTTTATTGCGGCACTATTCACAATAGCAAAGACTTGGAACCAACCCAAGGCAGGGGACAAGAGATTAATAACCAGAATATATAAAGAGCTCAAACAACTTTATAGGAAAAAATTTAATAATCTGATCAAAAAATGGGTAAAAGATTTGAATAGACATTTCTCAAAATGGGACAGATGGCAAACAGGCACAAAAAAGGTGCTCAATATCACTGATCATCAGAGAAATGCAAATCAAAACTACAATGAGATATCATTTCACACCAGTTAAAATGGTTTTTATCCAAAAGATAGGCAATAACAAATGCTGGCGACAATGTCGAGAAAAGGGAACCCTCATACACTGTTGGTGGGAATGTAAATTAGTAAGTCACTGTGGATAACATTTTGGAGATTCCTCAAAAGACTGAAATAGAGCTACCACAGGATTCAACAATCTCACTCCTAGGTATGTACCCAAAAGAAATGAAATCAGAGGGGCCAAGCTCGGTGGCTCATGCCTGTAATCCCAGCACTTTGGGAGGCCAAGGCAGATGGATCACCTGAGGTCAGGAGTTCGAGACCACCCTGACCAACAAGGTGAAACCCCATCTCTACTAAAAATACAAAAATTAACCGGGCATGGTGGTGTGTGCCTGTAATCCCAGCTACTCAGGAGGCTGAGACAGGAGAATCGCTTCAACCCGGGAGGCGAAGGTTGCGGTGAGCCGAGATCACGCCACTGCACTCCAGCCTGGGCGAAGGAGCAAGACTTAGTCTCAAAAAAAAAAAAAAAAGACATGAAATCAGAGATATCTGCACTCCCATGTTCATTGCAGCACTATTCACAGCTAAGATTTGGAAGCAACCTAAGTGTCCATCAACAGATGAATGGATAAAGAAAATGTAGTACATATACACAATAGAGTACTACTATTCAGCCATAAAAAGGAATGAGATCACGTGATCATGTCATTTACAACAACACTGATGGATGGTCATTATGTTGAGTGAAATAAACCAGGCACAGAAAGACAAACTTCGCATGGTCTCACTTATTTGTGGGAGCTAAAATTTAAAACAATTGAACTCATTGAGACAGAGAGTAGAAGGATGGTTACCAGAGGCTGCAA